ACACACACACACACACGCACACGCACGCACACACTCACACGCGCACACACACACACACACACACACACATACACACTCACTCACTCACTCACACACACACACACACACACACACACACACACACACACACACACACACACACACACACACACACACACACACACACACACACACACACACACACACACACACACACACACACACACACACCACACACACACACACACACACACCCTGCTGTTGTACAGTAGACAGCTTCAGACATGCCAGGGCTGGACATGCCCAAAAGGCAGAGGCTGTTCCCGGTCACCTATCAGCTGGTGGCAGACAGTGGAATGTGTATGTGTGTGTGTTTCTGTCACTTGCCTTATTCATACACTGGTTTATTTCATATTCATCATTGATTTGAGTTTCATATTCTCACTGTTAAGTGGTGCATATATGCAATGATTTTTATTAAAGTACAATATATAGGCTCTTTTAGCCATGACATGATGAGACAAAAATCATCACTGTCAACTAAAAGCAAAAATACAAAATCTGTGCTTAGACTCAAGCAAAGAGGCCAACAAGCTTTCCTAACCTGGATGAGACTCAGCTTTACTTCATATCATTAGTCTAAGAGTCAGGAAGTAGGCTTGTGGATTCAGTGTTGGGGGTACTAACATGTCACAGGACATGCTAGAGAAGAATAAATGAGACACGAGGAGGCAGCAGCCCACCCAGGACGGCTGGCACGGCAGCCAGGGGCGGGGCCAAGACAGCATGGCACACGTCGACCTCAGACCCCCCCCCCCTCCTCCCTCTCTCCCCACAGGCTCTGACAGGCGGCACAGGAACCCCTTGGCCCAGTCAGGGGTGGACAGCCATCTGACAACTCCCCACCTGCATGACCTTTACCATGCTTGACCCCCTGCAGGAGACAATCACCTCATAGCAAACAGCCCCACGGGAGATGTAGACACACAGCACCGTCAGGGAGACACACACAGACTATGACAGAGTTTGATAGAGGGATGGATAGTCCGACTGCGACATTCATACACTCTTGTGATCAAATATTTTATTTTAGACCCCTTTTTCCTTGATTGCTTAGCTAAGCTTAATGCTTAGTGTGATCCACTTCATCTTCCCCATCAAACTGCACAGGTTAGTCTTCTCTTGCAAAGTGTTAATGCATTTTAGTTTGTTTAACATTTCACAACCTTTTTCGAAACATTTTACAGAGATCTCATAAAAAGTCACACAACTACATTGGATTAACTGTGAAAAACTAAATTGAAACATATAGTATATTCACAGTTTATGAAAATGACTTTCAAAATGATCAATTGCTAATGCACATGTAAGAAATTATATGGGTATCAAAAGATCACAGTTTATTTCTGCCATTCCCAAAAATCAAAGTCATTATTATTTTATCTTACTACTTATTTAACTATCAAATTGAGGACCTTTCTATCCCTGATTGTATGGTTATTTTATTTCCATTTTCATGTTAACCCCTCATTTAATTTCTTAGTTATAATGCATATAAAGTTTATTATTAGTATTATTATCATTCACGGGATTACTTGTTATTTTTACTATTGTATGTATCCTCATTATTCTTATTAATCCTTTTATTGTCATTTATTACCAACACTTGTAGCAGCAGAACCACTAAGGAGAAAAAGGACTGCTGCTTTAAGCCGAGGATACGTCATCATGAGGCGACATGGCGGTTTGGGACAACAAATGTGGAACGTTGGTGTTGGCGAAAATGCTTGAAAGTAAGTCGATGTTGTTCTTTAAGAAATAAACGACGAAGAAAGTGTGCCATATTGACGTCATTTTAAAATTAGTTTACGTATGGGACGCATCATTAAAATAAAAGCACGCTGTTTGTGTTTATAGCGTACGTTACAAAAACGTCACTAACTTAACAGAAACGTGGTGTTACAACCTAACTCATTTTAATTTCTTCCACTCTTAGGTTAACCGCAGAGCTCACCTTTCCTTTTGCTACAATATCTTGCTTCAAACATTTCAACCAGCAATGAATCCAGTAATTAGACGGAGACTTCCTCCCTCTGTGAGGAGTCTTCTGACAGACATCGGTCCAAAGGAGGAGTGGACTGACGTGGAGCCGGACACAGAGACCAGAGATGGGGTTCTGCTCCCCTCCAGAGGACCTGCTTCTGGAGAAGAGGCGTTTCTCTCTCCAGCCAAGACACAAGACGATGGTAGTAACGCCAGAAGTACTGCAGTCTGCATGCTGTGTAAATGCAAGCCCTCTTCATACACCTGCCCTCGGTGTAACCTGCATTACTGTGGCTTGGCTTGCTACCAGAGCCCAGATCACTCTGTGTGCTCTGAGAAGTTTTACAAGGAGTCTGTTCTGCAGGAGCTGAAGGAAATGGGGAAAACAGAAAGTGAAGGGAGGATTAAAATGCAGGAGATACTCGTGGGACTGAGACAAAAGGCTGAACGCACAGACGGGGGGATGGAGAGTGTGTTAAAGGATGCTGGTATTCTGTCAGATGACACAGAGGAAGGAGAAGGAGAGGCAGAGGAGAAAGTGCAGGTTGTGGAGCTCCTATCCAGGTTAGCAGAGCTTCAACAGTCTGGAGAGGCGAGTGAAACGGAGATTGAGGCTATTTTGAGGAAACTTGAAGAGATTGGAGGAGGAGAGGCGCTACAAGGTGACATAGATGAAGGTGCTGAAGCTGCAGAAGGCGAGGTGGATTTGGCTGATCGACTCTCAGGCCTGGATGTTGACAAACTTTCAGAAGAGGAGCTGTGGGAAGTTCTCAACAGTGAAGAGAAAGAGAAGTTCATGGATCTAATAAAAGGCGGAGCTCTTAGTGGGCTGGTTACCCTGTGGAAGCCGTGGTGGGAGGAGCATGAGGATGGAGGGAAAGCACTGGTGGAGGTGCTTGAGGAGGAAGTGAGCAAACTGGAGAGGGACAATTCAACAACTATGGATGAAGAAGACAAGACATCCAAAGAAGTGGTTCAGAATCAGAGCAAAGCAGCTGCAAAAAGACAAGTGAAAGGAGCAAAGGGTGAGGAAACAAGCAAGGGAAGGTCAACCAATCCCAGTGTCCCTAAAGTTTCTGCAAAAATCCCAAGGTTGAGCTCCTTATGTGCAAATCCATCTCCCCTGATATGTTATGGTTTGGTCAATGCACTTTTTGGCTACTCCTTCACCCTGTGCCTGTTTAACAATGACACTGATTCACTGATGTTTGAGTTCTGTGACATGATTCTTGCTCTGTCTGAGGCACTGAACTCAAACAGGGTGTTCAACTCTGTCCAAGAGGCCTTAAGCTGTGGAGAAGCTCTGATTCTGGATGGAGGTTACCTAGACAAGGAAGACCCTCTCGCCCCAACCAGGGCGGTGGAAGCTGTGGCTCACATCATGACCGGCAGAGACAGAAAGGATGCCACAGGATACGGCCTTTCAGCCTTCAGTCAGCTGCGCGCGGTGCTCTCCAAGGCTAGAAGTGCCCTATCCAAAGAGGGAGAGGAAGGAGCGAAGAGACAGAAATACTTCCTGGCAAGCAAGAAGTGTGAGTTCCTTCAAGCCTGGGTGTTGGACAATGCCGATGGGATTCGTAGACTAGCTATTGAGTTGTGGAACGAACACAGTAAGAGAGAGAGTGTAAGGAGCAGCATGGAGCAGGCCAAAACTGTGGTTGAGGAGAGCTTGAAGAAAGAAAAGAGAAAAAAGAAAAGCAAGTTAATTGAAGAACTGAGCTAAGGAATTCTCTCTCTAATAAATACATGTTTGTGAATGTTCATGATGTAATAAAAATGTTTGAATAAATTACCCTTTTTACTGTGATATTTAACCACTTAAAGTGTATTACTGGTCTGCTTTTAATATAATGTTATAGAACTATTTAGGATGAGTTTAGCAATGTAAATAATAGTTTAATATTGTCAATAATATAATAAGTCTATACCTTTTTTAGGTACTGTATTGAAGGCCAACAATGATTTTGAATGCTTACAAAATATGAACATGTGTGCTATCTTAACATCCTCATACAAGGTTATTTTGCAATGTTAGCTTTGTCATACAATTACATTAGACTAATATATATATACCACTCATAAACAAGTTTACAACAGTGTATTCCTGCCAGCGGTACAGAATGTTAAGCACATTAAACACAACTCAAATACAGTACTTCAGTAAAGTTTCAATACTTTACATTTCATGCTACTTTAAGTACTTCTGTAGTTCCGTCTAATCCAAAATTCGATTCACAGATAAGCTTGACTCGGACAAAATACGTGTCAGGAAAGTTTGGCTGACTCTTTACTTAAAACAAAAGGTATCAATTACAAACACATATTTTCACAGGTCAAAAAACTATGTTGCTCTGTGCTTCTTTCTCCTTCTCACACACAATCACAAAACAGCTGCCGTCGGCTGTAACGTCAATTCCATAAGGCTGGTTCAAGGATAAAAATAAGGATGTAATCGTAACAAAAAAGAAATAAAATACAGTGTAGGCAAGGCAAGTTTATTTATACAGCAACTTTCAACACAAGGCTATTCAAAGTGCTAAAATGGGAAACATTAAGAGCATTACTAAAATAAGAAAAACATTATAGCATTTAAAAACAGTTATTAAAAAGCAAAGAGAATACAAATAAACATAAAACAAGCTGATATAGAATAACACTGGTATAAAATACATGAATAAAAGTTGCAATGCAGTGTGGGATTTGATTTGAAAATAAATAATAAATAAATGGTAAAAAAGAAAACAGATATGGGATCTTAATTCATAATTTGAGTTAATTACTTTTAACTTGTATTATTGTATTTATAAACTGTGTCCCTGCTTTTATTTTTAACCAAGTAAAAGACCCTCCATTACTGCATGGCCCCATGGATTTATAAAGAGAAGGGCATCGGGGTTATACCATGGATGTATGGGTTATACAAATAAAGTGACGCTCTCATCCGGTAGTCTCGCGTGGTTGTATGCTAATGTCTCACGTGGTGCGGATGTCCTTCCACTGTGCGACATCAGAAAACATGGCTGCGCTCTTGAGATCAGCCCGGTTACTTAAGTGTTCGCCTTTGGGCTTACTTCAGATCTCAGGCACCAAAAGAACCGGGCCGCCCCTCCGCCTGTTGTTCAGCGGACCTCTCGGCGCCAGAGGGACCGGAGTTTGTTCCCGACACATCAGCCCTGTTTCGGGAAACGCGTCCAGGTATCTCAGTGTGTGTTAGCCGGTGTAGCGTTAGCTGTGACCCACATGTGAGGCTCAATGACAGCCAGAGATACACAAGTATCCACACTGCTATTAGCTTTAGTGTTAAATGTGTTATGCTGACATATGTGGCATTATGTCAGAATAAATGGCCTATTATGCAGATAGTTAAATAGGGAAACATGGCTCCCGTTATACACAAGGTGATGATCAGAGGTTGTATAATACATAAACCCAATGACATTGGTTCGTAATCATGATGTAGGCACTAACTTTTGACATAAACGTGAATCCTAGCTTTTTTTGCAAAGGCCCATCAATGCAGAGCAGAAATGCATGTTGATGCTGCAGCTTAATTGATGCTATAGTCAAATGTGTCATCTAGGCTTTTATAACAAAGTACCAGAGAAACACTGACCTTAGCTGATGTTAAATATGGGGGATTACGACCATGTGTTGCTCTGCTGGGGCTTTTTTATCTCAAGGTCATCATAGCTCTAAATGAAACTAGAGATGTATGGGTGTTACTGCTTATTGGACATGAGTATTATGTGCATTCAACACATTCTGTGCTATTCCTGTTTAGGATAGATGCAGATGAATATTTTGTCTCACATTCACCTATAAAGGTATTATGTTTATCTGTCTGTATCATCCAACACTGTCTATCCAGTGTCATTCATCCCCTCTCTCTTTCTATTCCCCCTCAGTCGCGTGTGGCCCTATACAGCGGGGTGTGTGCGTAACTATGCCGTGGCCACAGAGCAGATGGATGAGCCCGGCATTCCGATGCGGTCCAATCAGGCGCAGCAGTTCGACTTGGCTCTGGCCAAGCTGGACAGCTCAGTGAGGAGAACCGGTCGCATCACCGAGACCCAGCTGACCCGCATCTTCCAAGATATCTGCAAGAAAGGTAGGCAGGCAGAGCAGTGAGAGAACGCTTGTACCTCAGCCAACTGTTCCTTATACGAAATCAGACAAGTTGGCAGCGGCCCCAGGTGTGTTGGGTAGGAAAACTTTACAGCACTTTCACAATCAGGTGGTGTGATTCATTAGCAGCAGAGGATGAGCTAAGCCAGTGGTTCCCAACCTTTTTCAGTCAGTCCCCTCTTGTGTAATTGGAAATATTTTCGAGCCCCCCAACCCGGTTCCCACCGAGAATGGTAGAATTAATTGTATATAGTTGTACAAACATTACATTTTCTCTGCTAATAATAACAAGACAAAAAGATCCAACTCTAATTTTATATTTTATTATGGATTGAACATGAAAAAAGTGCTTGTATTGGCAGATGACCCAGTGCCACTGTGAAATAATGAGGCCTAATTGAAACAATTACAAACACTGCTTATCGATCCGGTTCTTTAACAGTATTTTTATAGGTTATTTTTTTAGGAAAAAAACACGTAACAAATTAGAAACAGAATTCACATCGATTCATTGTATGTTTAGTGTGGATTATGGGCTGCTAGCACACATACCTGCAGTGGTGGTAGTAAGTAGATTTACTCAAGAACTGTACTTATATTGAGGTACTTAAGTATTTCCACTTTTGCTTCTTTGTAATTCTGCTCCTCTACAGTCCAGAGGTAAATAGTGTACTTTTACTCCACTGCATGTATTTAATACCTTTAGTTACTTCACAGATGTGGATGAATGATGTGAAATATAATCAACTCTTAAATCAGACTTTAGTTACACCTGGAGTAAATTCACAAGCTACCCTGCAGTATACTACTTTTACTTAAGTACTTGATCTGAGTACTTCTCCCACCTTACACGTAAATGGGGCAACAGAACTCCGATTTCTCCGTATGAATATATGATGCCTTTTTTCCCCGCGAAAATACTTATGGCAAACGAGCATTGCCCACATTCAGCTCTGTAGATTAGATTGTCACTTTTTAAATCTATGTTCTCCACCGGCGGATCTCTGTGTGCACGGCGCTGCAGCGAGTCTGTGAGCGAGATGCCCCGCACACAGACGAGAGAGAGAGAGAGATATCTCCGCACCAAACACGTTAGATGTCAAGGGAGATGTATGCCTCATCATAATTTGTTGATTTGGGCATTATAGATGAAAGACTTGTCGTGGCCTCGTCAACTTTTCTTTTAACTGCCGGTTGTGTTAATGTGTCAATTTTATAGATTTTACGAGCAAACAATGTATGTTTACAACTTCTTCCCCCCCCCACCCCCCCCCCCCCCCCCTGCAATAGTGCTGCCCCCCAGGTTGGGAACCACTGAGCTAAGCACTTGTGAATGAATGAATGAAAACTTTATTACAGACTCAGGGTCCAGATAAAAGACAAGGCATTACATATAATAAATTACATACACAGCATAAAAAAAATTCATAGTTTAAGAATAATTTAAATCAGTGTCCTACAAAGAGACAACTATACCAATGTCTCCACAGCTGTGATTGGTAGTGTGTGAAAGTGAGGGAGATTGCTTATTATAACTCTATACTTCAACACAAACCATAGATAATAAATAGCAGTGACAGAAAGTTAAGGTGTTGAATGACATGCATTCAACACCATAACTTTCTGTCACTGCTATTTATTATCTATTATCTTATTTTATTAGCAGTCGAGTTTTTAAAACAATGCACCATTCTAGGCCGACTGCAGTTTTGTTGTGCTGGCATAAAATAAAGCTCCTGTATCTGGCTGACCTTTTACATGTTTTACCTTCTAACTTTCTGTTGGTTTATTAAGGTGCATTTTTTTAAATTTGCGAATGGTTCTTATTGTGAATATAGTCTCTTACAGATGCATCCTGTTGGTACCGAATACTTTTAGCATCACTGTTAGAGAAAAAATGCCTCTCTGATATATAATTATAGAAATCCATCATACGTCTTGAAGTCATCCACTCTATGGTCATGAGCAACATTAAAGCTATAATAGGTTGAGCTGAGCATGCTCTATGTCTTCCTCTTGTCAGACTTACTGGCTCTTATCTTTGGATGTGTTTCTCTTTCCTCACCCTCTAATCTTTTTCTTTCTGCAGGTTATTCCAGTGGTAACCAGGCCTTGTTGCTGCTGCGGAGCTGTGGCTCTCTGCTGTCGGAGGTTCCTCTGGAGCAGCGCACTGAGCTGGCTCACCGAGTGTGGGAGAAGCTGCAGAAGCTGGGTGAGACGCTGCACCAATGGCACCAAGTCCTGTATTTACTCACATTGTAATATACAGTATAGTGTAGTGGAAAAACATTGCAATGTCTGTTTTTTCCCAACATCATGCACTCCTAATCCAGAGTACTTTCTTTGCTGCATTAACTGAACAGTATTTAACCAGGATGTTAGGGCTCTGCCAAATGGAGTATACTAAATATCACTATTTCTAATCCAATTTGCCCTTTGACCACCACAGGTGCAGTGTATGATGTGAGTCACTACAACGCCTTGCTGAAAGTTTACCTGCAGAATGAGTTCAAGTTCACCCCCACTGACTTCCTGGCCAAGATAGAGGCAGCTAACGTCCAGCCCAACAGAGTAAGTACAACACAGTACAACAACTAAAGGAAACACCTGGTTACATCACTGGAGTTAACTATCCAAATAATCATCTACACTTAATGTATCAACAATTCCTTTACATTTGGTATTTTGGAGCTGTATTTGATTTCCTTTTTAATTTTGCACACAGGTTACCTACCAGAGACTCATTGCAGCATACTGCCAAAATGGAGATATCGAGGGAGCAAGGTGAGCAAACTTTGTGATCTGCATTTTTTTTTTTCTCCCCCTACAGCACATGTGTCAAACTCAAGGCACGGGGGCCAAATCAGGCCCTTGGTGGATATAATTTCGGCCCGCAGAATAATTTCTAATTACTATTAGATCTGGCCCGCCGGTATATTGCACGCACACCTTCACTCCATCCTGAGGGTCTCCTCAGCTCAGAGCCTGACCCCAAACATTGATGAACTTGCACCCAAGATGAGATGCCAAGTATCTGGCTTGAAGCACACAGAGTTTCCATGGATGTTTCCTCTTGCACTTTTTTTCTTGCGACAACAGGGCGTGTTTGGTTTTTTCTTTGAGGGGAAGTGTTTTGTTGAAGCTGTTGTTGGCCTATGGAAAAATGTAATCATAAGAAATGACTCGGGGGGGTGGGGGGGGGCCCCACTGTGTATTTGAGTTTGACACCCCTGACAGTGTAGCAAGAATATCTTTAAATATCTCTATTCTTTTCCTATCATTTAAAAATGTTTCTTTCTTTTTCAGCACCATACTGGGTTTCATGAAGAGCAAAGATTTACCCATCACTGAGTCCGTTTTCAACTCCCTGGTGACAGGCCATGCCCAAGCAGGGTGAGTCTCCCTGCTATTGATCTTCCAGCATTCTGTTGTTTATAGGGGTGTAACGGTTCACAAACATTTCGGTTCGGTACGTACCTCGGTTTTTAGGTCACGGTTCGTTTCGGTACGTTTTCGGTACAGCAGAAAAAATTATCACAAAACATAACATATTTTTTAAAAATTATTATTAAACTGTGAATAATGTATTCACTCAAATAAATACAAAATATTATAAAATAAACATTAAGGTGCAGCATTTCGATGAACTGAAATAATCTGTATTTGAACTTTACTGTACTAGTACTCACAAAACATAAACTATTAGTTTTGGGTTTTTAATTATTATTAAACTGTGAATATTCACTCGAATACAAAATATAATAAAATAAACATTAAGGTGCAGCTTTTCGATGAACTGAAATAATCTGTATTTGAACTGTACTGTACCTAAGCAGCCAGTTTGACATTATGACTTGCTTGTCATTGTATTTTCATGTTTTTTTAAAGAAAAATGTACTTGGTACTGGCACTAACAATGTCTCCTGCTGTGGAGAACACCCTCTCGCTAGGGACAGAGGTAGCAGATACAGCCAGGTAGCGCTTTGCTAACATGGCAACATAAGGATATTTGGCGTTTGTAATAGCTTTGGCTCGGTCTGAACTTTTTGCGAGTGGTGGAGGCTTACATGTTAGCGGGAGTTGGGTTTGCACTTCAGTCTTTTGGTACCGGTGATATTCACATTCGGGTGATGCCTTTTCAAATGAGTGTGATGTATTGCCAGCCGCGTAACCAATTTTAGTTGAACAATGCCGACAAACAGCTTTGGTTTGGTCCACCTGTCTTTGTCCGTCATCCTTGTACGTAACTGCGAAACCAAAATGTTCCCAAACCGGAGACTTCAATGATGCTGGAGGATTTTCGAGCTCAACTTTATCTGCGTTCGCCATTTCGCCAGTTCCTCAAATTACTGACTACATTTGAACGCATCCCTGTGACAAATGACTAAATAAATGACTTGCTCGCTCTATGATGCGATGAGCCCAATGTGAGGAAATTACTCTGAATGCTGCGACGCAGCACCTGAGATTACTTCCAAGAAGTTGTTCACGTTCTCAATTTTTTACGTTTAACGTTATATTCGTTCGGTACACTTCGGTACACACCTGTACCGAACCGAAGGGCCCGTACCGAATAATTTCGGTACGTGTACCGTTACACCCCTAGTTGTTTATAATGGCTCACAATGAGTGTTTGCTAGGAAATAATGAGGTTTTAAAGCAGTTCTGATCCATCTCTGTGCAGGGACATCGAGAGTGCTAAGAACATCCTGACTGTGATGAAGGGAGCAGGAATTGACCCCGGTTCTGATACTTATGTAGCGCTGCTTAAGGCCTACGCTGAGAAGGGAGACCTGGACAATTTGAAAAAGGTGTGTGTGTATATTCAGCTGGTCGTCATAATGATCCTGACCCCAAACAACCTTTCTTAATCCCTTCCCTCTATTGCTTCTGTTGTTTCTTGCTTCCCAAACTCACTCTTTCCATGTTCTCCTCCTCCTCCTCCTCCTCCTCCTCCTCTGTGTCTTCCTCTCTCTGTCAGACGATGGAGGCAGCAGAGAGTGCAGAGTGCAGTCTGATGGACAGAGACCTCATGCCGGTCATCTTCACTCTGGCCAAGGCCGGACACCTGGAGCACATACCACACATGGTGGAGCGCTTGAGGCATGAGAGAGGATACGTTCCAGGTACGCACACACACACACACACACACACACACACACACACACACACACACACACACACACACACACGATGCTGTCTTTAGCAGTAACAGCCCGTCCACACAGCTTCTGCCCATTCACTTTGAATGGGGTGACGTCACTTTTCGCCGAACTGCATTGTGGGAAGCAGAGCGGAGCTTTCCTGGCATTTCAGGCTGCAAAAGTTGAGCAATGTTCAACTTTTGAAGCTTCTGAAGCTTTCAGTGGAAGCATCAGCCAATCAAATCATATGCCAGTACAAGCTCTAGCCAATCAAACCGCTGCTTGTGTGTCAGGGGCGGGAGATTCATGTGATTGGTTGTTGGTCGAACTTCAGACACGCCCGCCGACAAGCTTTTTCCAAAGCCGCTGTGTGGACGGGCCGTTAAAGTATTGTCAAGAAAAGGACTGGTAAATTGTCAGCTCGTGCCAATTGGCGAAGGACGGGATGATCGATGATTGTTGCATCTTGCATCAGATCCAAAATGTTCCAAAAATGATCTCTATAATCTGATACTGGGCATTTAAACATTTTATGGTAGTGCAGCATATCTCTCTATTTAAAATCCTTAATTACAAACCAGTTTGCTGTGGAGCTGAAACCCAGCATCTCTGTTCTCTTTGTGGCTGCTTACTAACACTTTTCACCGCGCTCTGTTAGAGTTGCCAAGTTAACCTTAATGGAAAGGATTTGGATTGTGATCCAAGTAGGGGTGTGTTACGTTCCCACTTGGCTAGGGTACAAACGGGAAACGACACGACCAGATTGGATTTGGTATATGTGTTACCGGTGGTTTTATTGTCACTGAAACTAGGCAAAATGATGGTCACACAGATTGGCCCCACAACACGGGTCAATCTGTCACTATAATACAACACAAAGGGTCTCCAAAAGAGAGTTGCCCCGCTATAGAAAGAAAAACAAATCTCACTACTCAAGTGGAAACAAGCAATAAACAAAACGGGACTGTGGAAACACACAGCTGGTGCAGGTCTACAGGTGCTAATCACCTGGCTCTACGCAATATCCACTCACAGGAACGCTGGTCTACAGGTGCTAATCAACCTGGATCTAAGCAGTATAAACACACACAAAATCCCTACGCTAACACAGAACCCGACGACACACTGCTACTCAGTGTGCTCGCCTAGAACCCTACTATAGACACTGCTAATCAGTGGAGCTAATACCAAAGACACACGCTAAATCTCAGAATTCACAGAATGAAGGCTTATCACAAGGATAGGGTTGAGGCATCTGACACAAAATACAGAGCCTCCCGACTGTTGTCCGTGCTCAGCCTTTATACTCCTCCCCCGGATGACGTGGCAGAAGCGAGCAGGGGTTGGGCGACGTCTGTCCAATCCCCGCGGATGTTGAGTGGTCCGGACGGCCAATGACAGCAGAGGAACTGCACAGCTCATTTACATACACAAACAGACTTAAGCTCACAAGGTAGCAGCGGCTGTAACACCCCCCCCCCTTAAAACACAAACCCCACAGGGTTTTTGTGAACCATAACACATCACACACCATGACCACAGAACACATCACTCCAGTCTGGACAGAGCATCTGCAAACACGTTCTCTGAGCCTTTCTTGTGGCGGATTTGCAGGTTGTAGTCCTGAACGATCAGAGCCTACCGCATGAGACGCTGATTGTGGTTGTACATGCGGGACAAAAAGACAATGGGGTTATGATCGGTAAACACTGCAACCGGCAAAGAACTAGACCCGACATAAACCTCAAAGTGCTGGAGAGCTAACAACAAAGCAAGGGTCTCCTTTTCAATGGTAGAGTAGCGTACCTGGTGTTTGTTGAACTTACGGGAGAAATAGCAGACAGGATGATCAACTCCCGCCGCATCTTCCTGCAGTAAAACAGCACCGGCCCCCACTGCACTAGCATCCACCTCGAGTTTAAAGGGCTTCGCAAGATCGGGAGCAGCGAGCACAGGAGCGTGACTCAAAAGTGTCTTTACACACTCAAATGTATGCTGGCACTCAGGGGTCCAAACATATTCCACCTTGGGACTTATCAACCTAGTTAGGGGTTGAGCTACAGTGGAGAAGTTACGGCAGAAACTGCGGTAGTAGCCTGCCATACCGAGGAAACGGCGGAGATCACTCCTGGTGCCGGGCACCGCACATTCAGCCACCGCAGTAACCTTAGCCTCCACTGGTCTAACTTGGCCTTGCCCAACCTGCTTTCCTAAATAGGTGACCGTAGCTTTACCAAACTCACATTTGGCCAGATTCAAAGTAAGAGACGCCTGTGCGAGCCGGGTGAATACCTGCCCCAGAATCTTCATGTGCATCTCCCATGTGGGCGTGTACACAATGAGGTCATCCAAATACGCGTTACAATGGCTTATTCCGGAGAGGACAGTATTCACCAATCTTTGAAATGTAGCGGGAGCGTTACACATACCAAACGCCATTACTGTATATTGCAGGAAACAGTCAGGCGTAGCGAAAGCGGAGATTTTTGAGGCACGGTCCGTTAAAGGTACCTGCCAGTAACCTTTAAGTAGGTCCAATTTACTGACAAATTTAGCGGAACCTAAATTATCAATGCAATCCTCCATTCTCGGCAATGGGTAGCAATCTGTTACCGTAACAGCGTTCACTTTACGGTAGTCCGTAATAAATCGCGGAGAACCATCAGATTTCGCCTCTACAAGACACGGCGAACACCATGGGCTAGAGCTCTGTGTCGCCAGGCCATTTGCTACAAGATAGTCAGCCTCCTGTTTCATAAGTGCGCGTTTGGTGGGATTGGCGCGGTACGGATGTTGTTTGATTGGCCTCGCACCTTTTACATCAATGTCATGTTTTATCACATTAGTTTGGGTGGGGACATCATGGAAAAGGCACGGGAAATCATCCACCAACTGGGTTACGTCATTCTGCTGGCTCTCCTGCAGATGACCTAACGTGGTCGGCAGTGTCTCTACCATCTCCGAGTTGCATAACCGCGCACCCGGCTGGTGATGTGAGCGCATCACCAACCCGTCGTCAGAGGAGCCGGAACTATCTACCACTATTAACGCCGAAGCAGCCACTCTTTTGATTACATGAGCCGGCTGGCGTACTATCAGTGACGGTGCGTGCATGATATCGCTTCAACATGTTTACATGGCAGACACGCGTTTTTCGTCGTCTCTCGGGAGTACCAATCACGTAATCGGTGTCGCTGAGGCAATCACGGATTTCATACGGCCCGAGGAATTTGGCTGAGAGCGCAGAGCCGGGGATAGGTAATAGTGCGAGGACCTTGTCACCTATGTCAAAGTGCCTAGGGACAGCGGCACGGTCATCATTTCGCTTGATAACCGCTTGTGAAGCGGAGAGCGACTCTCTGGCGAGTGAATTTGCTCGGTGCAAACGCTCACGGAACTGACTAACGTAATCTAGTACGTTCGTATCTGGAGGAGTATCAGCCGAAAGAAACTCATCGTGTAGGATTTTAAGTGGACCGCGGGGCGTATGGCCGAAAACGAGCTCTGCGGGACTGAATCCTAATGACTCCTGAACAGCTTCACGGGCTGCGAACAAAACGAAAGGAATTCCCTCATCCCAATTTTTTTTTGTCTCCATACAGTATTTTCGCAACATACTCTTTAAAGTCTGATGCCACCGTTCTAATGCCCCCTGCGACTCTGGATGATACGCACTGGATATCACATGTTTAACCTGCAGTGTTTGTAGGACCTGTTTGAACAATTTAGATTTAAAATGTGTCACTTTGGATTACTCGCGGAATTCCAAATGTAGAAAATAACTTCGTCAAGGCCTTAACTACAGATGTTGAAGTAATGCTACGCAGCGGAATCGCTTCCGGAAAACGAGTCGCCGTACACATTATCGTGAGTAAATACTGTTGACCTGTTTTCGTACGTGGTAAAGGACCAACACAGTCTATCAACACCCGGTCAAAGGGCTCACCTATAGCCGGTATGGGATGTAACGGAGCCTGCGGAATTTTTTGATTAGGCTTACCGACAACCTGGCACACATGACAGCAGCGGCAGAAGCTAGAGACATCTTTCTTTAAACCTGGCCAAAAGAAATGCTTCAGAATTACTTGATACGTTTTAGTCACGCCCAAGTGTCCCGACCATTGACTTTCATGCGCGACAGATAGCACATGTTGACGGTATGGCACCGGCACGACTACTTGATGCACTACACTCCAGTCAGCTTCAGCAGTAGCAGTGAGGGACCATTGGCGCACTAATATCTCCTTATCCAACACATAAGCCACCTTCTCACCCCTTGCTTTGTCATTACTCACCACCTGCTCGAAACACTTCACAAGCGTCGGATCCGCCCTCTGCGCGGCGAGTAAACGCTCTCGGGTTACCGGGAGTGTGGAACCGTCAACCGCTGGGCTGGCAGGGTGCGCTGGTGCAGCGGTTCCAGCCGGGAACGCGGAGGATGCAGAAACCTCCACTGCTGGCTTTTCCTCCGGTATTTTGTCCTCTGTGAATATTTTCCCAAACATAGTATCATCTAGAGACACCTCCGAGTTACTCTTACGCGCTTGCGCGCGAGTGACAGCACAAATAGGGAAAATGTGGGCCTGGGTTACTTCAGGCACTACAAGCTGAGGAGAATCCAATAATTTCTAATGCAGGGGTTACCTTACCCCCTGCGATGTCATTTCCCATTAGGAAAACTATACCCCTTATGGGTAATGCTGGGCACACAGCAACAGGGAAAAATCCAGTAATTAATTTACATTGTACATGTACATTATGTACGGGCCGGGGCACATAACCCATCTCAATGCCACATAAAGTCGATCCATACCCACACGCTGATTGTTCGGAAAATGGTAGAGCCGAGGCAACAATCACTGACTGTGAGCCTCCCATGTCTCGTAGTATGCGGACGGGTCTCTGATCGTCTGACTCACCTGTTAGTGAAATCAATCCCTCGAACACAAAAGGCTTAAAACAGGGATCTATTTCCTCCGCATTGTCAGGTGTGGAAATACTGAGTGAGTTAGTGTTAATCAAGCCGATGCCTTTCGGCCTGGTCACGTTTGGTGACTGCTCCTTCCGCTTCAGAATTAGGCAATTATTAATAAGATGCCCAGGCTGATGACAATAGTGACATTCTCTCCCCTCTCTGTCCCTCGTAAACACTCTCGCGGGCTGACCAACAGGTGCACCCGACATGCGGCGAGAGTTCTCAGCAATAGCCAGAGAAAACACCGTTTTATGCATCAACACATATTCGTCTGCCAGTACAGCAGCTGCGGAGAGAGATTGCACTTTCTGATCATTTATATGCCCCACAATACGGTCAGGTAATCCCCTTTTTTAAAGTCCTCCATCAGGATTAATTCTTTAAAGGCAGAATACTCTGCAGCGTCACATGAATCAATCCATTTATGGAGCAACATCCCCTTCTCCCTGGCATACTCGACATGTGTTTGATTAGCCCCCTTTCTGTGATTCCTGAACTTCTGCCGATAAGCCTCGGGAACTAACTCGTACACCCTAAGTATGGCACGCTTTACCAGGTCGTAGCTTAGGCTGTCCTCCAGTGAAAGAGCAGCAACCGCCTCCTGAGCTCTCCCGTGAAGTTTACACTGCACTAACAGAGCCCAGGCGTCAGTCGGCCACTGTAATGCCGCTGCCATGCGTTCAAACGCACCAAAATACGCATCCACTTCAGCCTCACGGAAAACCGGCACCAACACAACATTTTTCCCTACATTGAAGGCAGGTGGATGAGAATGAGGTGAGGAACTTCCTCCGACATGGCCAAAAGCACTGGAGGCACGCAGCTCGGAGTCTAGCTCCAGCTGACGTATCCGCACTTCCTTGTCAATTTCTAACTTTCGTAGCTCCAGCTGTAACTGCCTGGCTTTCTCCCTGTCGTTAGCTTCCCACTGACGCTGCCTGTCCTTGGCTTCCAACTGGAGCCGGACGAGACGGACCTTGAGTTTAGCCCCCTCCCGGGAATCTGTACTACCAACAGGAGAGGGTGGACATCTGCGAGGTGACGTGAGCGGTGCCTCACACGGCTCGCCCCCCTCGCTGTCACTACCCCTTCCTTCAGTAAACGTAAACTCTGCCTCAGTCTCTGGACGCAACAGGCCCTCAGTGGGAACATCGGACACTGGGAGCTCAGCTGGTACAGCCGGTACAAGTACCTCTCTTCGCACCATCTCATCAACCACCAATGCCTTCAACTCTTTTTTTAACATTTGCCGATTTACCACAAGACTGAAGTGCCGCGCTATCTCCATCAAATCATCCTTTCTACACCGGTCCAGCTGCTCATAGGAGGGCCAGACCAAGAACGCCTCTATATCGAACGATGCCATACCTGAGTGTACCGCCCACACGTTTACCAAGTTTACTGCCACAATAAACCCACCTATATCCCCAGGAATTGTTTTAAATGTATCCCGGACGAGCCCCCACGTGTTACGTTCCCACTTGGCTAGGGTACAAACGGGAAACGACACGACCAGATTGGATTTGGTATATTTGTTACCGGTGGTTTTATTGTCACTGAAACTAGGCAAAATGATGGTCACACAGATTGGCCCCACAACACGGGTCAATCTGTCACTATAATACAACACAAAGGGTCTCCAAAAGAGAGTTGCCCCGCTATAGAAAGAAAAACAAATCTCACTACTCAAGTGGAAACAAGCAATAAACAAAACGGGACTGTGGAAACACACAGCTGGTGCGGGTCTACAGGTGCTAATCACCTGGCTCTACGCAATATCCACTCACAGGAACGCTGGTCTACAGGTGCTAATCAACCTGGATCTAAGCAGTATAAACACACACAAAATCCCTACGCTAACACAGAACCCGACGACACACTGCTACTCAGTGTGCTCGCCTAGAACCCTACTATAGACACTGCTAATCAGTGGAGCTAATACCAAAGACACACGCTAAATCTCAGAATTCACAGAATGAAGGCTTATCACAAGGATAGGGTTGAGGCATCTGACACAAAATACAGAGCCTCCCGACTGTTGTCCGTGCTCAGCCTTTATACTCCTCCCCCGGATGACGTGGCAGAAGCGAGCAGGGGTTGGGCGACGTCTGTCCAATCCCCGCGGATGTTGAGCGGTCCGGACGGCCAATGACAGCAGAGGAACTGCACAGCTCATTTACATACACAAACAGACTTAAGCTCACAAGGTAGCAGCGGCTGTAACAGGTGCAACAACTAATCGATTACCAAATTAGTTGCCAACTAATTCAGTCGTCGATTCGTTGGTGACGTCATCACATGTTTTTTACGCGCCGTTAAGCTCCAACGTTATTGGTCTTTTTTTTTTGTCATGTATTATTGCTACAAAAACATTATATCGCAGTCTTAGTGTCGCCAACTCGTTTCTAATATGCAAAAAGACAAACAAATGCATCTATGATGTATTTTCGATCAGACGAGATCTCTCTCCCCCGTCTGTGTGCGAGGGGGCGGAGCAGTTTACACACACGCGGCTGCTACATGCAGCAACACACTGCGGAGAGAACGCGATCCGAGGTGGTTAAACTTTACCCGTCTCGATGTGGACAATGCTCGTTGCCAAAAGTGCAATAAGAGTTTAGCATGTAAGGGCGGTAACACGAGCAATTTGTCTAAACATTTAGCAAAAGTGCACCACATTCAAGCGGAGGAATGCACCGGGTTCGACTCTCTTTCTAGCAGCTCTGTAGCTCCATCCACGAGTAACGTCAGGTGTTATGTATGCTAGCAGCAACACACGGAGTTAACTACATTATACAAACATGGGTTAATGATTAGAGGTAACTGAGTTATTTATTTTGTTAAAGTTTCAGCTATTCTGTTTACAGTTCTGTCATCAGATTATTTAATACGATTTGTTTAAACGTTGTTTCTTTTGATGTGAAATATTATTTATTTTATTTAAATTAAAAGCTATGTTAATTTTGTTCAAAATGTGTTTAGTTAATTTAATAATACATGTATTTTTGAATCAAGTATTCATCTTTATTGTCTTCATTGTTAGTTTCCACATGCCTTAAACAACCTCAAGCTAAATCTAAAAGTTGATGGCTAAATAAGAGCGTTTGAGAAATTGTGCAAGGCATACAGTAATAGTCTGAATAGTCGATTAATCGCTTCATTCATTAATCGATAGATTAATCGATTATCAAATTAGTCGTTTGTTGCAGCCCTAGATCCAAGATAAGAAAAAATCTAAAACTTAACATATTGATAAGATTTGTTAACCAATCAGAAGTGGCCCATGATAGTAGGTGATAGACAGATTGATCCAATCACCTGCCAAGTCTTTTTGAAATACTTTTCCAAATGACTTCCAATGGAGCTTTCCTAGATGGTTTGGTGAAACAAACCATCTGAGTCAGGTTAGAAATGCTCCATCACATGTTTTACATCTATTGCAGGGTGAATCTTAAACTGAAGCTTGACTTAAAAGCAACCCAACGGAAGTTTCATGTGAGTTTAGTTCTTTCACTTGTAGCTCGGGCTGCGTGGGTGCTAGAGACGGGAGCACGTTGATACGACCTTCCTAGCCGGAGATATGGCCGCATTTTACAATAAACTTCCGTTGGGTCGCTTAAAAACAAATATCGCAAATCGAATCGCAATATCTGTCAGAAAAATCGCAATTAGATTATTTCCCCAAATCGTGCAGCCCTATACCAATCACCTCCCAACTTGGATAATTAACCACTATTGGATAATATGAAAGTAGCAATGATGCCTGACCCTTGATCAGCTGTACATGTAATCCTCTTCAAAGTGTTTTGATGCAGTATTTGTTGTTCCTCCTGTAGATGCCATGAACTTGTGCCTGAGTCTCATCACACAGGGCCTAGAGGACACAGCTTTTTACATCCTGAACAATTTCCCCAACCTGCAATCTGACGACTTCAACAACGAAGCCAACCTGGGCAACTTCTTCCTCAGGCACTGTGTTAACATAGACGTGGTAAACATTTCTCCCTTAACACTAGTCTTACTACAGTGTATGATAATGAATTTCAATGTTTAAATGTTATTTTTGATCTTACTGTGTGTCTACAGTCACTGGAGAAGATTTGCAGCTTTTGCAAAGAGCTGCAGGAGTCTAACCGGCACGCTGCGTCCATCAGCTTCACTCTGTCCGTCGCTCTGCAGACCCAAAAAACAGGTACGGCAAACTCTTTCACTTTTATTTTATTTATTTTTTTTATTTATTTTATTTATTTTATTTATTTTACAGAGATGGTTTCTTTTTCTCCTGGTTATTTTTTCCATTCAAGATGTACATACATGCATTTACACATTCACTTTTTCCATAAACTCACCTTTGTGCATTTGGTAAATTGTAAATGTATATATTAATATTTAACATCAAGTTACTACACCGATACGAAAAAAGTCATTTGACTCAATAATTCTTTTTTTAATTTTCTTTCTGTTTGCAGCTCTCGCTTTAGCACTGATGAAGATGCTGAAGGAGCTGGACTTACCCATAAGGCCTCACTACTTTCGGCCTCTCCTTATTCAGCATCTGAAAGGCAACAACCCAGCTGGTATGCACACACACACACACACACACACACACACACACACACACACACACACACACACACACAGACATCCAAACCGCTTCTTAATTTATATTTACGCTTAATGTGCTAAATTTCCACTTTCATGCTGCAGCTTTAGTACACGACTTTTGTTGAATAGCTGGTTATTGCAGATTTTGAGTGGGTTACACTTCTTATCTTACTGTGGTGGTTTAAAAGTAACTAACCCAAACCATGAAAATAGCTAGTGGAGCCTCGCAGCGGCGAAACTGTGGCGTGCTTACACTGTAGGTGTGCCGCGTTTGGGGGTGCAGGTGCTAGTGGAGCCTCGCAGATGGTGCTTCAGCACCCCCCTTTCACGCGTCCATGGTGCTCAGGCTGTTTCGCGATGTCTCGCAGACCCCACGTAGCAACCAGGAAACGACACCACTAAGCCAGCTCACATTGTACGCTCCTCGCAGCAGCGAGCCGCGCAACGTCCCGCCAACACGGCACCCAGACCCCCCCCACGCAGCATTCTCATCTGTTTGTCATTACTGGTGTCATTTTCTGGTTGCTAACAAATGCCATTGTAACACATAATCACTGATGTTCCACTGTAACGATGGTGGACTCATCAGAACAGAGTGGGCGAGCTGACCAATCAGAGCACAGTGGGCTCATAGGGACGGGGGGGGGGCAGGAGCTCCAACAAGCCGTTTAGGACAGAGAGTGAATACACATATCATACAGAGATGCTGTATGAGAAACCAATGTGAGTTTGGAAAATTGCACAATATAAACCATCCATGTCATGGGACCTTTAAAAGTTTGAACCAAATATGAACTGGGAAGTGCAAGATTATGTCATTACTAGGTACATATCCATAGTCAATGCATTACCTACAGTAAATTAAACAAGTAATGTTCTACTGTGGATGGGGTGAGCAGCGAAAACAACACTTACACAGGCTATGAAACTACATCCTCCACTTACATTGTTTTAATGTTCCCCTTAAACCAGGGGTGGGGAACCTTTTTCCTCTCAAGGGCCATTTCAATTTTTTCAACATCCTCCGAGGGCCGTACAAATTATTGACCTCTGCTTAAAAATCACAGCCCATTCATTTGGCCTTTCTTTCATTGCAAAGAAAAAGCAACCTCTTAGTCCAGATATCTTGCCATGACTCGCGTATGCATGCACGTGCACGGTTGTGGCATGACCACCAAACAGAAAGATATGGACACAAGATGTGTGCAAATGCATTTAGTTTCCTATCCATGTGAACATGATTTAAGTGTATGATCAGTATGACAGATCGCCACTGGGCTTACAACTAAAGACACAGCCACGCAAAAACTGCGGCATGTGTACGGCTCCTTATGGGTGCTGCAATTTTTAAAGTCCCGGAGCGGCGTTCTGGTGCTCTCCGTCAGAACTGCACCCCTGTCAGACGAGACATATACCATGTGATGACAGTTAGGCTCGTGTTGTGTTCAAGGACCATGACCGTTGCCAGGAAAAACAGGCACTCGCTTGTTTAATTATTTTGCGATCTAGATTTCTTAATTTTTTTTCTTTTTTGCGTGTGTTTATAAATTACCTCGAGGGCCATACCAAATGGTCTCGCGGGCCGTATACGGCCCGGGGGCCGGAGGTTTCCCACCCCTGACTTAAGCTATCACTAGCATCTTTAGAGAGACCAATTCATGTCAAAGGTGAACAGGTTGTCGTGAGAAGCTCGTAGTTAAAGACACTCCAGTGTGTGTGAGAACGTTGCTATTGAGCCTGCTGCTTGTGCGTCCGATCAGAAACGGAGTTGCATGTTTTTTTTGGTGAGCATGATATTCGCAGGTCTTGAGCAGAGATGGGGTCGTTACTAAAAAAAAAAGTAACATATTACATATTACTTTAAAAAAAAAAAGTAATATATTACACTACTTCGTTACTCTCTACATAAAGTAACTCGTTACTTTACTCGTTACTTTACTCGCAGGGCCGGCCCGCCCCTCCCTGCAGGCAGATCACGCAGACTGCTAAAGTTTCAAATGTTCTCTTTAGTTCAGTTTCCATTGTCGCATAAGACTGATCCAGATCCTGAATGTTTTCCGATCTGACCATGGCTGTCTCCTGCTATCTGTATATTTTGCGCAGTCTATCTCTGCTCACGCTGCTGCGTCGGCGTGTTCTCCTGCGTGTTGGCCATGTGTTGCACTGGAACCAGACACCGCAAAGACTTCAGCCGAGCACGTAGGAACTGCGCATGCGTGAGTGGCAATAACTCTCCTTAACAGCAGGCGGCGGTAGTGTGTATTCGTCATTCAAAACAGGCAACAACCGGAAAACAGAGAAGAAGAACATGCTACGTGATATAAACAAATAGCTGTGCGTTAGCTTCACCTTAGCATGTGTTCTTTGCAGGTGTTTGTTGAGTTTTGATTATGACTGATTTTAGTAAGTAACGAAGTAACGCGTGTCGGGGCAATGTTAGTAACTGTAGTGTGATTACTGAATTATAAAAGTAGCGCGTTACACTACTCGGTTATTATTACAGTAACGCGTTACTTTGTGACGCGTTACACCCAACTCTGGTCGTGAGCAAGTGTGTTCTTTTTGTGGTGTAGAGCGGATTATGACTTCATCAGTCCTCTGTACCAGAAAGAGCTTTTTAAAGGAGTGTTTCGCACAAATATTAATGCCCTACAGAGTGGTCCAACTGGGACAGATTTCACTGGGCTGGGGCAGTCAAAGGCAAAGGGGTCTGATCCCTGCGCGAGAGAGCAGGAAGCCATGAAACACACACACACACACACACACACACGGATGCACATACAGGCCTGAGGCTGAGAGGTCAGTTTGCTCCAGTGACTACTCAAATCCTTTTTCAAACCAAACTTGTTTCTTGGTTCAATACTTCAACCAAGTCTTCCTCCGTCCATCTTTCCTTTGTCCTTTATTTAATGAAAGGGCCCCTATTATGCTTAAGGTTTTCCCTCCCATGTAGTGTGTTACGTAGGTTTTTGTGCGTTTTTAAATGATCTGCGAAGGCTTAAATCCCAAATCTCCAGAGGGACTTTCTCTCCCAGACACTCTTTAAAAATGTACCGTACTACAATAGGAAATCACGAGGAGTGTATTTGTTGTTATTCTGCAAGAAACACTTTTAAGAATCCAGGTTAAGTTCCCAAAGGATTGAAAGAATTGCTCACATTTAATAGTGATCAGTGGAGAGCACAGTTCATGCAAATGTTTGGTAGAACATTGTTTTTGTTGTGTGTGTGGCCGGACACGAGGCAGTCTTTATCTACTGAGCCTGCTGTCTCCTTCGGACATAGATGTGTAGAACAATTGCATTGATGTCTTATAACAGGGGTGTCCGCGGGGTCTTAAAAAGTATTAAAAGTTGATAAATCAATTTAGTGAAAATGAAGGCTATTAAAAAGTATTAAATGGCATTTTCCAAGGTATTATATTTTGTAGTTTTTTTTCAATAAGTATATAAATTGTCCAAAGAGGTTGTGTTCTACAGTCTGCCTGAATGTAATCATTGCGTAGGTGTGTAGTGTGATTCTGTGTAGTTTATTGATGGCATCCCATTGGATTTGACGTCATCTGAACAGGACATCGCACGCTCACTGCTTGATAGCGCGCGAAGGTCCGTTTACGCCGGTTGTTAAACATCATTATGGGGAAATGCAAGTTTGCTTCCAAATGGTTGGAAGACAAGGAGGAAGGACAATCAAGGATCAATACTATAGTAAGTGTGAGGTAAAGTGTGTCGCCAATGTAACCGGTTAGAACTCAAAGTGGCGATGAGGTCTTAAAATGTATGGAAAGGCTCTTAAAAAAGGTCTTAAAAGGTATTAGATTTGACTTCAGGATTCCTGCATATACCCTGTACAATTCGTCTTCTCTTTTTGCCACTAAGACATTTTAATAGCGGAGCACAGTAGTTAAATGTAATATCCCAATTTCTTCCCCTCGTTTTTGTCAGCAATGAGCTTGTGGAAGAAATGGTCTCAGTGACAGATAGACGGCATTAGAGGACTTGTCAGAATTCACAACTCATTACGAATGTACCCTGTCAAATGCGTTCAGCAACGGCTTGGCTTTTAAGTGCTTTATTTAGGCTGAGCTTTCGCTCTCTCTTGGTTTTTTTTTGGAGCAATTAATAAATGATGTATTTTTTCCCCTGTCAGCTAATTGACAGCATTTGAGCTGGCAGGGAGGAGAGGCTGTTGGAGGCGGCGCACATTGACCTCTGTGTGCGGTCCAGACACATTCTCAGTTCGGATGGTGAGACGCCTCAGCGCTTGCCTGGCAGCTTGAAGAAGAGGACTAGACATGAGTTTAAACATGCACAACCACACATGTAGACTCTTACTTAAACTTCCCAGCCTCACAAAGCCACACAAACCCATCAGACTGCATTTAGTTATCACAAAGCGGAAAGGAAAAGTGGAGGAAGTTCCAACACACCAGCTCATTTCTGATGGTGTTAGCCTTAACCCTCATGAATGATGCAGCCTCTCCCCTTTCTGCACTCTCTCATTGGCTGCAGGAGGTTTGTGTGTGTCCACATCTTTGAGGGAGGCGGGGGGCTTTTGGGGGGGGCAGTGCAGGTGATGTGACTGATGAGGAGTGACTTGATTTCATGTAAATGCAAGCGCTCTGAGGGAATTCACTTTGGATTACGCGCCCCACTGTGCACAGCCCATGAAATATTAAGCGCTGTGTCACTTTTTGTCCACAGGTGTCACTAGCGGGCAGAGAGGCCACAGCCTTAGAATTGTAGGAGATAAGGGGGGGTGGGGGGAGAAAGGGGAGAAAATCCCTTTTGTATTTTGATGAGGTGTGGATTTGGCGGCTTTTGCGGAAGCATATGCTGGGCCGTACTTTCCACCTGCCGCCAGCTAGTCAACGCTTGTCAGTCCTGGCGACGCAGCGCCCTCTTATCACTTCTGACACGGCCGAGCGAGATAAGGAAGGGGGGGGGGGGGGAGTGCAGAGGTAGAGGCTGTTT